AGAGAAAGGTACAGAACTACATTATTTAATTAATTAGCTGTGCGTTCTCCTGTTCTCTGTCCTCCGGGCCACACACACACACACACACACACGCACACACACACACACACACACACACACACACACACACACACACACACACACACACACAAACACACACACAGAACAGCATTATATAGAGCTGTTATTGGCCCACCAAACCCGTAGGGCTCTGTCACTGGCATAGCACAAGACTGTTCAGCCATGCTGGAGTGTGGCTAGACCGACATACAGAGCTAAATCATGTTGCTTTGGCTCGTGTTTGTCTAGATTTCTAGGCTACTAGATTCCCAGGTTATGGGTCAAATGTGTGGCAAACGCTTATTTCAAAGGTGTTAATTACCTTTTTAATTAGGATAGTATAAGAGCCCCTCTTGTTTTTATGTCTTCATTTTTAACACTGTGATCATTTACCTACGAGTAACTTATATATATGTGTACATTTCCGTTTTTAATGGAAGTTTGAGCAGAAACATCTAAAGTACTAATAGTAAATCTGAACATGTTGCACTAAAATCTCCATCTCTTCAGGATCTGTTAGAGAGAGGAGTGTCAGAGCTGCTTGTGATGAATGGTGCTGCAGAAACCCTCCAGCTCCCTGAACTCAATGATCTGTGTATTGATCAGATGTCTTTTATCACTCCCTGAAACACACAAAGTGCCTGTGCCACGTTGCAAAGAAAGATTCCAGAATCTATTACAATAATCAACTTAAATGTATTTTTTGCATATTGCACTTGGTCACATCTGCCCCCCCACCCCCTTCTCCACCCACCGGTCTGCTAGCTGCAAGTAAACAGTGTCAGAGCAAATAACAGGAAACTTGGTGACCGTGAGTGACAGAGTGCCCAGAAGATGAAGCTAGACACGTTGGGGGTGTGTGTAATTACTCTGAGTGTGTCCATGGCCTTTGGGCTATCACACTCAGCACAGCAGTAAGCACCCTAACAGGTCCGGCCATGTCCAAAGCCTGAAGGTAGCGAAGGCAGACAGGAACGTGTGTCTGACTGACACTGAACGGAAAAGGAATGTTCTTTTCTTCAGCCCAGATGCCTGCTGTGCTGTATCACACACACAAACACACACACACACACACACACACACACACACACACACACACACACACACACACACACATTTTTCAAAATGACTTTCTGTTTTATGCATCTCAGTTTATCTGGATTCATTTATAACTACTTGGTGCTTTCATGATAAATATGTTATTATTAATATTATTAATTTTAATATTATTAATATAGTTTTTACTGTAAGGTGACTTTGACTGCTTTGGGTTGCACTCATGATAAAATGCACTTGTTTTATTAGTAGTAGTGGAATTAACGCTGCAATAGCAAATTTGGGAAAGAAATTAGCATTAAACATTTTTTTCTTTACTCTTAACATTCTAACATAGTATAGCTGTAAATATATTGTCCAGATTAGAAAAAAATATGAACAAAATAATAAAATTGTTTCAGACTTAAGGGAACCACCGGAGCATACGTTCGTCAGTCTCGCCGAATCACTGCACTTCCCTGGATCCTCCATTACTTACCAACTTGCGTGTTTTGCAACAGAACGTTACTGATGTAAGAGGTTCTCCGCTCAATAATGTCAGACGAGGAGAAACAAACAGTTCCACTAAGCTACTCTACCGGAGAACCTACCCCTGCTCAGGTACTCCGTTAGCTGCTTTTAGAAGACTCGTCATGTCGCCAAATCAAAGCAACACTGCTGCCACGGTGTGTCTTCTAAAAATGTTGTATCGATGTGGGAATTTTGCGGAACACTCCCTCCACAACCCCTTTTTATCGCCATTGCGTATTCTTTTGCAATTACGCCAAATTACTGCCATGGTATGACCACTTTAAGCTCCCAGATGCCGGCTTGGCTTTGCGGCAAGTTGGCGGCACTGTTTTATAAAAGAGGCTGTTGGTTCCTGAAAATGGCCTGTTTGGCCAGCCCGCTGAAGTCAAGACACACACATGCTGGGACGTTCCGGTAAAATGACCATGATGTTTCGATAGTGGAAACTAGGGCTGAACGATTTAGGAAATAATGTACAGTAATTGCAATTTTTTTCTTCCATAATTCAATAGCGATTTCATTCATGATTATTTTCTGAAGGGGCTTTTCTCATAAATTTTAACTAACAGAAGCAAAAATAAAAACCCTATGTAACTTGTACTGAATATAAAGAAGTTTACATATGTATCTGCATATCCTATCAACAAGCTTGTTTGCCTCCATATACACAAACACCCACGCGTTAAGACAAAATGTTGTATTTGAAGGTGCAATGCGTTGCAGCCAGCAACACACCCCTTAAAGGGGCATAGGTATTAGCATCAACTGTAATAACTTATTAGCAGGAAAGAAGTGTGTCCCGTTTATTGAAGTCTCTTGTGTTTAGAGTTTTTGATGTCTTGTCCATGCAGAGCTTCCGTAGTTCAGTTATATTCACAGCTGCTAGCCAAAACTCAGTGGCGTTAAAGTCTCTTACGGTTTTCTAGCTTTACCAAAATATCTGTCTGTACTTATTTGATTGATGGCAGTTTTTATATATTATTACTGTAGACTCCAAATGTAATCGTTTGGCATGTTCCTAATCCGTGATTTGTAAGAATGTAATCAGTGATATTAGCATTAGCATCCCTATGGGTTCTTTCATGTATATTAGCATTGTGCTTACTACTCGCTGCCAGTAAAATCGCAGCATTTGCGATTAGAAAATCTACTTTTGTCACATCGCAATTTAACTGCATTTGCAATTTATCATTCAGCCCTTGTGGAAACATGCCTTTTATGTCTTTGGGCAAGAAACGTCCCTCCCCTTGCTCCCCATGTTTATTTGATAGGGCCTATGGTTAAAATCTGATGTTAGCCTAGATCTGGACAAGTGGGGGAGTAGAGGGAGGTGGAGTGTACACTCGGTAAAGACGGCTCTCCCTTGCCCTGCCTCCAACATGCCTCCATCTAAAAGGCTAGGTTATCCAGAGTTATCTCTGTAGTTATGCTGCTATAGGCTTAGACTGCTGGAGGATACACTGACCACTTTTCACACTCTACTACTTTCTTCTACAATCTGCTCTTTAACTGTACTATTTCCTGCTATTTCAGCTGTTAACTTTATTTTTTCTCTAAGTGTTTTTCTCCCCAGAAGAAGCTACAATGATGTTCTGCTGAGCTGTGGTGGCCTCATGGAGGGGGCCATCGTCTAGCACACTGCTGCTAACCACTAAAACATTCTCCCTCTCCTGATAATAACTTTTTGCTTTCCTTGACGTTGGATGTGCTACTACTAGTTTATCCATTTAATTATAGATCCACTAGGATAAATACAATAAAGTGTATCTCTCACCAAATAGTATATTTACTAAGACATCATAATATAACCATAGAAACATTGCTTGGTGTGTGTGTGTGTGTGTGTGTGTGTGTGTGTGTGTGCGCGCGTGCTCTGTCTTCTCGATCCCCAGTGAGTCGTGGAGGATGGCTGCTTATACTGAGCCAGGATTCTCTGGAGGTTTCTTCCTGTTAAAAGGGAGTTTTCCTCTCCACTGTTGCTGCATGCTTGCTTAGTATGAGGACTGCTGTATAGTCACTGACACTAGTCAGTGACTTGATGTAATTTGCTGGGTTTCTTATATAGGAAACATTATTTCTGATTGGCTTAATGAACTGACCTGAATTGGAATGTTTATAATGTGAAGTGCCTTGAGACGACTCTTGTCGTGATTTGGTGCTTTATAAATTTAATTTAATTGAACAGCGGTCAACTCAAATTGCATGGGACTCTATGGGAAGGGGGACAGGCTTAACTTAATAAAATGATGTATTGCCTACATTATATCACAGTACAGGATAAGCCTCTCACTTTTATGGATTTCTAAAAAAACCCATACATAATTCCTGAAAGGGGAACATTTTGGATTTTAGGGGGTCAGTTACCTTTTCAAACAGGGCTTGTATAACAAAAGGTTGTGGCAGATGTCCAAATGTTAAGTGTCTTCACAGAAGAGTGTTGAGGCCTAAATAAAATACTTCTAAATAAGAGAGCAACAAGAAGCAACACCCTTCCTGGATCCTTCCTGGCACACACAGCAATGGACCTGGCAGCAAGGCAAGGCTATGCTGACTTTAGACTACAGGATGAATAGAGTAGTGCCACACAATGACAGGCTCGATTATGAATGATGTAGTAATACCGGACAAGGTGGACAGGAAGCTGCCTGACACCATTAGTTCCCTGCAGCACCTGGGACACGTCTACTTTTACCAGCTGGCCTCAATGCAAACGGTTAATGGATGAATCCAATATTAAACTGTTAAGAATGGAATCAACACAGTGTGACCAGTCTGTAAATCCACCAGCGTAAACAAAACAACAACGGTGGAGGCATGCACATGCAGCTCAGCCACAGCCGTAAAGGGAAAGGCCTGAATCAGCGGACAGGGGATCAGGGTCAGAGTCAGCTGACACAAGGTCAGCGTAGCATCACAGCTGTCCATGGACCATTCTAGGGTAAGGAGCACAGCAGTCCACAGGCGGCTGCATCACACATACACACTCAGTGAGACCAATAGCAGCCAGGTCAGAGAACCCCCCTAGACGGGATTTCAGATATTGACATGAGTGTTTTGATGAGGAGGCAACAGCTGAGCTTCTAACAGGCATCCCAGGAGTGCTCTTGAGGAAGGCGAGGAGGGAATAAAAAAGTGGAAAAAGTATACATCAATGCCAAAGAAGAAGCTGTCATGTTGAAGAATGTGAAAACTTTTGGCAAAGGCCACATTGACCTCTGGGTTTATGTTATTAACTCTAGACCTTTCTAAAGTCTCTGCGACATGATGAATGTTAATGTCAAGTTATTAAATGTTGATATATGAGAGAATTCTGAGGTTGTTGGTCGTTTTCTGTTTTCTCATTAAATACATTGTGTCCTTGCACTTGAACTCACCACTGGAACTCATGATGCCCAACGTGTTCTTATCCAAAACAACGCCGCTCCGTCAGCTCTGGTCCCATAAAGAACACAAATCCTCACGATTTCAAAACTGTTGCAATAATTTTTAAATCCTGCAGATAGACAACCGCTTCCAGTCAATTCCACGTGAAGGTGCACTCACAGGGGGAGAGAGGGATAGAAAAATATATTTGTATTTAAAAAAGAAGAATGAAGAGAGGATAATTCCTGTAATTAGCTGGTGCGTCCAGAATAAAGCTCCGCGGCGTGAACGTCGCCTCTGTGCGCGTTTTCCTCTCAGTGATAATAAAGACGACGCTGCTCACTTGGGTTCCACCTTCCTATCCGCTCCAGGCTGATCTCCTCAGCTCCAGCTTGGCCGCGCTCCCTGACGTATCCCCGCGCGCCTCTCACGCGCTGTCAACACACCGGATACACAGCACGAGCTGTGTGCTTTCAAAATAAAACAAAACATCATTTTGAGAGACAGACAGACAGACAGACAGACAGACAGACAGACAGACAGATAGATAGATAGATAGATAGATAGATAGATAGATAGATAGATAGATAGATAGATAGATAGATAGATAGATAGATAGATAGATAGATAGATAGATTGATTGATTGATTGATTGATTGGATAGATAGATAGATAGATAGATAGATAGATAGATAGATAGATAGATAGATAGATAGATAGATAGATAGATAGATAGATAGATAGATAGATAGATAGATAGATAGATAGATAGATAGATAGATAGATAGATAGATAGATAGATAGATAGATAGAGAATTGGATTTCTCTTATTTGTCATGATTACCATTACATCGAGAATGAGGAACACTTTTTTGTGGGTTTCTTATTAATCGTTATTATTTAAATGTGTTTGGTTGTGAAGCCTGCGTATTTAACTGATGTCTTTGGTTTTAGCTGCATTTGGTGTTACTCTCACTTATACCTACGAATAATTTATTGATTTAGGATTTTAATGAACATGTGGGATAGGTCTTACAAAAATTAAATATTTTATGAACAATTGTTTGATGATTATCAGTGAACTATTAGATATTTTGGATTGTAGTTGTATTTGTGGGTTAATTAAAGCCGATACTTATGGATTGTTTAATAGCTAACTAAATATAGTACTATCTTATTTTATCTGAAACATCCATTCAGATAAAATAACAGTTTCTGTTGTATTTTGAACATTACTTTTAATGCTATTCTTTCTTCGATGGTATTGTTGGATTTCTATTTAAAAGGATGCAGAGGGAAAGGGGAAGTAAATAAAGTTTATTTCCTACTGTTACAGCATCAGTTCGGTTTGTGTGAATTATTAGTGTGTTTCAGTATTATTCATGCGTTTTATTTTGTAATTTACAATGGTACGATTGTTCACCGTTGCTACTGATGTTTTTGTTTTATTGTGAAACAACTTGTCACTGTTTCTGGTTTTCCCCAGCGCGTTGTGCCGTTGACTTGATCTCTGTCCTCTTAGAGCGACGTCACTTATGGGGTTTGTAAACGGATCTGGGGACAGTTTATCGTCACGCTCACCAGAACCGGTGCTCCAGTTCTCTGTCCAGGTGAGTGATGGGATTAATTTGAACCGATCCTCATATTAATCTTATACATTTAAATGGAAGTAGTTTAATTTTCAGCAGAATATGTGAATGCGAGCCACTTTCCATTTCCATAAGAAGCCTTTCGAAGGAGAGAAAACAATAACATAACCTGATGATCCTCCCTAAATAATAAGAACACAACCCTCCTGGCGTATTGATCAGAGCTGGGCTGGACTTGTTGCCTAAACTGCTGTGACACCGCCCTCTTCTGGAAAACAGACGTAAGCAAATTGTTTAATTGGATTGTTGTTGAAATCCTGCTGAGAGTCAGATTAAATGGTTGTGATTAACCTCTTTGTTATGTCACGAGTCCGAGCTGAAAAACGCCTTACTTCCTGTCACGTTTAAACCTTTTTGCTTTTGCCTTCAAAAGATCAATAAACTAAAACTACAGTTTCTGTTTATCAAAGAAATCTCTGCGGCTGCATGGACTTGGTTTAGTGTTTGCTTTTCCAGTCATAGAGCAAAAGCAAAACACTAAAAAAAATTATTTTGATATTTTCTTAATCTGTATAAATAAGCAAAAGCGGCGTCTCCTGGTTTTCCCTAAAGTCAGGACACATACGGCAAGGCGTCCTTCCAGTATTCTGGCCCTCGCCCCTGGAACGAGCCGCCGGAGGACCTCAGGGCCGCAGACAACGTTCATGTCCAGGCTCAAGACTCACCTATTTACGTTAGCTTTTATCAAATTATTTATTATAGTTTTATTTCTCGTTTTACGTGATTATATTTTATTACTGGCTTTGCATGTTTCATATGAATATATTTTAGCACAGTTTCATTATTTTATTATATTATTATTTTACTGTCCATATGATTTTATGTATTATTTATTTTCTGACTTTTTTCATTGATATTAGCTCTTTTATTTTCATATTTTTACTCATTTTAATCCAGTGTCTCCTTTGTGGGGGCCCTCTGACCCGGGGGCAGTGGTCGACTGTTGCTGCCTGGGCGCTCTACAGGTAGTGTATGAGTGGAGGTGGGGGTCTATGATCCCCTCCTCTGAGCACCCTGACTTAGTTGCTGTGGAAGACCTGATGCTGCCGGGGCAGACGGCTCCTCTGATGGCGTTTCCTTGCCCTACCTAACTTGATTCATCTGGACTCAGCCGAATATAAATTTTTACTGAATTTTGTGTGTGTGTGTGTGTGTGTGTGTGTGTGTGTGTGTGTGTGTGTGTGTGTGTGTGTGTGTGTGTGTGTGTGTGTGTGTGTGTTAATGTTTTTTAATCTGTTTTGGGAATTTGGGGTCATTTTAATTCTGTAAAGCACTTTGAGTCGCACCTTGCTTGAAAAGCACATTATAAATAAAATCTGATTTGATTTGAGAAGTGGCTTTCTGTTCAGTGGTGTCAAGAGTTGAACCCGTCAGCCGTCGCAGTCACTCCAAGTCCACTCATGCAACATCAGTCTGAATATTTTTCATCAGGAAAACAGCAGGGCAGCTGAAGAGACACAAAAGGAGCCACTTTTGTTTCATAACTGTAAAAGAAGCAGGCCAGAAAAGGACCTAAAGCTCCTATTTTCATGCCAGAGTTGTGAACAGATCATCCATGTGTGTTGCAGCTGTTTGGTCAAATCTTGTAAATGAAGATGTGTGAAATCTCTTCAGATGTTCCAGCAAATTCAATTCAATTCAAAAATACTTTATTAATCCCAGAGGGAAATTGATTGCTGTAGTAGCTCAGAATAGTAATAATAATCAAGTCATCAAAGAGTTATTGTATATTACAATGGCTGTTGGCAGGAAGGATCTCCAGTAGTGGTCAGTGTTGCAGCCAAACTGAAGAAGCCTCTGACTGAAGACACTCTTCCGTTGTCGGACAGTCTTGTGAAGAGGATGCTCAGGGTTGTCCATCATTTTCTTGATTCTCTGGAGAATCCTTCTTTGCATGATCTCCTCCAGTGGTTCCGAAACTGCCGAAACTCTGGCTGAGTCCTCGAAAGGGCTTGGAGTTCCTCCATCTTGTTGGCCAGTGATCTCACATTGCCCATTATGATCGATGGAAGAGATGGTTTGAATTTCCTCTTTCTCTGTCTCCGTTTTGCTCCCGCTCTGCACCCACGCTTCTTGTGTTTTAGCTCATTTGGGATTTGTGGCTTCAGTTCAGGTATTAGTTCAGCCTCCCCAATGTTAATCAGCTGCTCCCGATTGTAAACCAGACTTGTTGCCATGGTTACGCATCATAACAAATGCTCAAAAAGTGAAAAAGGCTAAAAAATAGCTGTAAAAATCCTCCAAGTTTCACAGCACCAGAAACAGAAAAGTTAAGTGTACAAAAAATACTGGTTTTCTTAAGAAACTAGAAGAAAAAATACCCAAGAAAAGGCAAATCTTACATATAGTCAACAGAGCTACTCCAACATGCAGCCACCCAGAGCAGCACAGTTCCGGAAAACGAGAATATTGAGAAAATGAGAATATTTGAAATATCCCTAGTAACATCTTAGCACTCAGAAAACGAGTATATGGTGTATGATATTACATTTTAAGCTCAATAAAAACTGACTGAGTAAAAAACCGCTGTTGTTTTGCTAAGCTAGTTAGCATTGGTGACATCTTGAATATGTTGATGTTAATCAGCTTTAGAAGAACATGGGTTCTTCATAGTTTCATCTGAAGAACCCATGTTCTTAATGAACCAGTTTAAGATTATAGAACATATTTACGAAATGATTGCATCACTAAATCAATATCTTCTCCCATGATGAAGGAAAAACGACAAGTGTTAATCGTATGTTGTTTAAATCATTGTTATAGTTACATAAGAATTAATAATTTATTAGTTGATAAATGAGAAATAATCAACAGTTTTTTGTAAATTAGAAGTTTCTTAAAAAATCATAATAGTATAATCTTAATGTTCACAAAAACGTGATAATTTTAAACATCTAGATTTTAAACTATTCATTGGTTAAGGTTAATGTGACCATCTGTCAGATTTTATTATGTGATTATAAACCATTACAATAATAAAGAAATAAAAGTGGCTGACAAGATTCTCCACCGGTGGACCGTATTTAAAGGACTGGAAATAGCAGGTTTGAGATGAAGGTACTAATCCTGATATTCCATCGAACTGCTTTAAGGCCAGAAAGGGTTTGATTCAGTGGTGTGACAAAAGCCAACAAGGGATTTAAGGGTTTAACTGAATTCAGTGATATGCTCGATATTTTGCTGACCAACTGAGTGGTCTCCTAAAGCTGATTTCAGGGTCCGTCTAAGATGTAGGGCTTAGACTCTGTAAGGTATGAATCTTAGCTACTACAGCATTTTAGATCAACACATTCAACATTTAATAGCATTCAGCCATGTTTGTGTTTTCTTAACTCAAAGATTAACTCCAGCTAATCAGATATTTTGCTAAAAGACAAATTCAGAAAGAGCTGAAAATATAGTCGCCCTCTCACTAATTCAGAGTTCAATAAACCACAATCACAGCACAAGAGAGAGGTCTATGCTGGTATCGGACCCCAAAACCCATTGCAGTATTTGTGTTGTTGTAACTTGTATTTTGGTTTCAGAGGTCTCGCCGACAGCCCTGTCTCTGTGTCCTGAGGAAACCCTGAAGCCTTGAGGAAGCTGGACAAAGGCGGGATGTGAGAGGATCCCCCCTCTGCACACTTGTACCTCTGCAGGGTTGAACAACAGCTGACCTTTTCCTTTCCTTAACTTTGCTGTCGCTGCCATGTTGAATTGCATTGACCCCAGTTGTTCATCAGTGGTCGATTTATATAAAATTATGGTTTCCTGAGAGTTCTTTTTATTTTGGG